AGTAACCCCTTGCCAGAAGCAAGGGGTTACTAGTCCCTTGCTCCTGGCATGGCTTATAGAGGCAGAATTCTGTTCTCCTTCCCCATAGAGGTAGAAGCAAACAATCGCAGATGGGCGATCTTAACTATGCAGGACAAGCTACATAGGGGGGGGGGATCTTTAGCTCAAGTACTTTCACTCTTCTCAGTGCATCATCAGGAGCTGTGCAATGTTGCAATCAAAGCAGGGAGAGAGGTCTCAGAGTAGCATAAGTGTCACCGTCCATGGTTACCCTTTAAGGGTAACCATGGACAGTGACACCTACGCTATTCTGAGACCTCTCTCCCTGCAACATTGCACAGCTCCTGATGATGCACTGAGAAATGTGAAAGTACTTGAGCTAAAGATTTCCACCCCCAGTGGTTTGTCCTGTAGAGAGGTAGAAATATACCATGTGAGAGGGACTCCTCATTGGCCCTGATGCCAGAGAGGCTCTTGATCCAAGGAATTGGACCTGTCCTCACCTAATGTGGATCGAAACCTGATCGCCTTTCATTCCCCGAGGTTCTGTATGACCACTGCGGGTTTAGTGGTTTGCCCATGAATGTAATAATTTAGGTATTTAAGAAGCACTAAACCTGTAGGGGTCAGTGCCTGGATGAATGGGGGGGCACTCTGATTATATCCAAGAAAGGGAAGGATAGGTTTAATTCCTTGCATGAAGAGCCTCTCACTGCCATCAAAGAAATTTCCTGGAGAAGAATATATCAGCATAGATCTTGAGAAATGAAGAGGAAACATTTTTCAAGCTACACTTCACAAAATCTTTTCATTTATTAAATTGTGCCTAAAATGTTTAGTTGACTGTGTCTGAATACTTATGTATATCTTACATGTAGAATACGCTAAACACTATTTTTTGGTCAGTCAGCGAGACATACAACAGTTTGGTATTATTGCGAAATAAAGGCAACTAAATAGTGAAGAGGTAGATATGAGGTGGTCAGTCCCTCAGCCTTGGTGTTCAGCTCCAAAGCTTCAGTTACATATCTACATCTCTGTTGTCACCTCAGCATGAGAACATCTTGTCAATGCAGACACCAAATTGCAAAACAACCACTGTGAAAAAAATAGTGAAATTCCAAGCACTTTCGTGATTTCTTACATTATCAAGGACCTGTAACACTACTAGAACAGCAAAAGGTTATATAACGCTGAGATATCACCTCATGGTCACATCTGACATTACACCCATCCCATAACGAGACGGGCCTAATGTCGAAAGTGACTGAGGTGAAATCTCAGCCTTATATAGCTTTCTGCTGAGCTATTGTTATTAAACTTCCTTGATAATGTAAGAAATCACGAAAGCACTTGGAATTTCGTTATTTTTTCACAATGGATGTTTTGCATATTGTGGTATCACCTGTTTACTATGATCTTACTGCAAAGATATCAAACTGTTGCACGTTTTGCTCATCTACCTTTTGGTATTATATATACCATTAATATAATGCTATTTTGTACTGTTAAAATATGTACTTTCTGTTTAATTTTATATTTTTATAAAGTGCCTTACAAGATGTATTACCCAGTAGTAAGAGTGAGCTCAAAATTGTAAATTTGAAACATCTTAAATCACTATGCAGGTAAAAAAAATTATTACAGTAGTTTTAAAATAAAAATTACAACCTCTCCTCACTTAGCAACATACACTCGTTTACCGACGGGTTCTGTGATCAGTATTCATACCTAAATAATGTATATTAGAGCCGATTTCCTCTATTCTGTTTATTTCAATATTCAGTACACTACTGTATAAATATTTTAAAAATATACCAGAAATGTTATAAATGGTGCAAAGGTGACATTAAAACATCAAAGATGGTTGACATAAACTCGCTACCATTATAGTGTGCTCCTCACTTAGCTACAAATTCGTTTAACAATGTGGTCTTTGGAACAGAATTCCGTCGTTAAGTGAGGATAGGCTGTATTTTTTTTTGCATATTGTTTTAAGGCCCTTCAATAAAAACCTCTAAGTAATGGTCCCCCACTTAAAGGATTTCAGAAATTATGGACAAATGTTGGAATCATTGAACAAAATGGAAAAAAAATGTCCATAATTCCAGATTGTGTCTACAGTGATAATGACATCTTCTGACGATTCTAGCATTTGTATGGGCCTGAGTGCCTACGTCCAGGATCTATCTGTTTTCATTGTTCCTGGAGCCATAGGCCGCCTGCACCAGTTAACTGTCTTCTCTCGCGCACGCACACTTATTTGATATCCAATTTTCTGCCTAGATTTAATGTTTTGTGTGACTTAAGTGCAATTAACAATGACTTCTGAACTAGGAGGTGGCATCCAAGAGGAAATGTGTGGTTCAGTAGAAACTTGAACTCATAAACGTTGAGTCTGGCAGCTCAGTGTCACAGGTATGTGAGGAATATGGTGTTAAGAAACAGTGCCTTGAGGTTCAGGGAAGCAAGAACAAGCTTACAGATGATGTTCTTAAGTTCAGTGTAGATGCTAGCCAGAAAGGTTCAACAGGTGGTCCTATAAAGGTAAAAAGTTTGAAGCAGTAGTGCCTAAATGGTATGCACATTATTATAATAAAAAACTAGTGCTTATCTCACAACAGTGGTATGTTCAACAATGTTTTGTTGCTGTTAATGATTACGCATCTCTCCACTTTGAAAAGATAAGTAGAATTACTGTAAATTACATACTTTAAAATTACTGTACTGTACACTATTCTGCAGTGCTGTATGATCCTTTTGGGTTTAGCACTTATCATTATAATTATTATAATCATAACTAAATGCTAAACCCACAAGGTGTGTTGTGTGTTATATATTTTATCATATATATTATTAGATAGTGAATGGAGACAAATGATTTTTGGGACCTGACGAACTGTTGGACTGTGAGCAGGGTAATATTTTGTGAAGGGAAACCGGTTTGCCAGACTCGAGTCCTGGAGGTGGGAAGCACAATGTCTGCACTTTAAAGGAGTAGTTTGGGGATACTGGCCATTTGGAGTGACATCTAAAGTGTTGTATCTGGGAACCTCTACAAAGACAGCGATTATGTGTGAACGATGGTGAAAGTGTTTCTTTTATGGGTCAGCATGCCTCGGTGGGAGATGGCCGACGTGTCGAAAAGAAAAAATATACGTAGTGCATACATACACAGTGTTTTACCAGCATAGCAACGCTGTATGACCCTTACGGGTTAAGCACTCGGTTATGATTGTAATTTACCTGCATAAGTAATGTTAAGAGTTCATTCTTGCTTCTGGTGAGACTGCTTATATTTGTTGTTGTTCTGCCTTAGCAGGTGTAATAATGTGTGTTTTGTTTATTCCAATTTTTGTGTATATTTAAGTATTTTCTCCAAAAATTAATTTGTAAGAAAAGTTTTTGTGGCAAGTACAAATTCACTATTATATATAGTTTGAAAAAATACTTAAAAGAATATATATTCAGAGAAAATTTATAAATTCTTTATATATTCTCTTATGCTTTTATATAAAATTTTAATACACTATTATACATTCACAGTAGTCTTGATTCCATTAAATCCTGATGGAAAGTTTTTAACCAGTAGGAGTCATGGAGTGCCTGGGAAATAGGAGCTAACCATGTTCAAGCCAAAGAAAGAAAATACAAATCACAGAACAGGTGCAAGTTCAACCTGTGGCAGGCAAGTCTTAACCCTTTCAGGGTTCCCAAATTTAAAAAAAAAAAATTATTTTTTTCTTATGAAAAGAGAGAATCTTTTCCCGACCATAATGACACCAAAAGTATGAAATTTGATGGAAAACTCATGGAATTATGCTCTCGCGAAATTAGCGGTCTCGATGATGTTTACGCATTGGTGATTTTGCCCACTTTGAGCCCTATTTTCGGCCAATTCCAGTTTACTAGTCGACAGAAATAATAACTATTTCGCTAGAACTCCATTTTTTCTATTGAACGAGTACAAAAAACCACCCATTTCAGCTATCCAATAAAGTGGTCAGAATTTAGCAATGATGCCAATTTCCGAATAGGGTCCAGAATAAACAAGACATTCCTGGCACTAAAATAAGTTCTCTGTTCGTTAGTCACGCCCCCCAGGCCCCTCTTATATTTCTTTGGCTTTCCACTTTTGAGTTTTTATTCTTACAAAAAATAAAAGATTTACTGTTATGCAGACTACTGCATTAGTGTAGAAATGGTATAAATAATATCAGCGCACTTGTGAAAGAATATTAGACTCGCCAGTTGATGTGTATTGGATGCTTGGCCTGATCTGTTTACTTTTGAACTTTGGTAAAAATCGAACATTTCTGCTACTTTGAGCTCAATTTCAAGGTACTTTTCATTGTAAAACCAGTCAAAATCATCTCAATCTCTTTAGTATGTCTTCCATTCTATTAAATGAGACCAGGAAAACTAGAATACAACAATAAATACCATACGAAAATACAGTGCAAAGTCGCTGTTTTAATCCAAAAACACGGTCGGATTTTTTTTTCTCATTACGCAGTGTGCTGCAGGATTTTTTTTTTTTTTTTTATACTGACCACATAGACCCATTCTTTCATATGTAGGCCTACCAGCTTTCTCTCACTAGATTTGAGGGCGCTAGAATTTAGGTGTACGTGTACTAGTACGGCCGAAACCCTGAAAGGGTTAAAACTCACAGACCAGTGTTCTGTGACTTGTTTGCAATTGTGTCGATTTCATAAGAAAGAAAAGTTATAATAAAAAAAAAAGCACTAAACCTACAAGGGTCATTAGCGTAGGAAAGGAAAAGATAGGAATCAAGTTTTTGGATCGAGAGCCCTCCAGTATAAAGGAACCTTCCCTGAAGGACACAATATTAATAAATGTTTATTATTGTCTCAGGGTATTGCCTTATGCTGGCAAACAGCTCTTGATCAAGGAATTGGAGCAACTCTCCTATATCAAATACCCATTTACTTCCTATTTTTCTTGCAAGGTTCGTAAGTATTCATTTCAAAGTACAGTAGTTTTTCTAATGTTTATTAATAAATATTCATCGGGTATCTTAAGATGAAATTAATGTTCTTCAAATATCGTATCTAAAAATATGGTACAGATGGATAATTTATTGGATTAAATGACTTTAGTTCTATTTCTATTTATCACAGAAAATAAAAGGCTTATAATCTAATATGTATGTAAAGTACTGCATCAAAAATAAGTTTTAAATCCTTCCAAAACAAAATCACCAATGTTCAAAATTCAGCACATTTTTCTGTTGAATCTCCACAATATATAGAAACAATAGCATTAATGTTGAACACATGAATGTGGATGGGAGGTTCCTCGCACATACAGCACCTCTTTTCAGTGTTCTATGTTATTGTTGGCTTCAAACTGAGCCATTGTTTATTATGTTCCACCCACCGGCGATAGTCACCAGTGGGTGCAACAATGGCTTGATTTAAAGCCAAGAAAAGTGTGGAACACTGAAAAAGGTGTTGTATATGCAGGGTTTTCCTGTACAGCTAAAGTCTTATGACCAGTAAAATAAAACTGTTAAGTAAAACAATGGCACTAATATTTCTTTCACAAATAAGAGGAACTAATTCAGGGATGTAAGAGGGAACTAGATGATATTTGGTTTTCATTATCTGCACCTTGATATGATTCCTTCCTACAATCAGTATGCATGTAAAGAAATAAAACTATTCAAACAGAACTGACAATTTTTCACATTAGCATAATAAACTTTTGCATAATGGCCATCTTTACATGAACTTTTCAGCAAGTTTGTCAATGCATCTATATTGCTGCAACTTGCAATATAAATACATTTTTGTCAAATCAGAAATATAATAGTATTGAATTTCTAAACTCAAATTTATTATACATATAAGTACAAAAAATATATACAGTATAACACTGAGTGTAAAGGAGGAAAAGTATTGTAATAAATCAGCAGTCTATATTCAAGTTAAAATAGGACTACTATGAATTAATACATTTAAGAAAACTTGTACAAGACAAAAGTTTAAACAGATGTTACACATGAAAAAATTTAATTCTTTCTGTAAATATAATAAATAAAAGAAATCAGCTATATAGTTTGTTACAGATATGTACAAGTTGCCCTCCAATTCAAGATTTAATAATGACTTATTAAATGTAACCTTTTGAGTGATTACTAATAAAAAATTATAATTTGTAAACTTGACTGCAGGACTAAGATTCCCAAATATAGAACTACTACTTTGAAAAGTGAATAAAAGTTTGTCCAAGAGCATTTAAAACAGTATTCAGTCACGTGGGTGGAGTACCCACATATCGTAGACTTACAAATGGATGAAGCACATGGTGAATTGTTGTCCAGCCAGGATGATAAGGATATGGTACTTTCAAATCACCTGTAGAAATAGTTAAAAGAAGGAAGAATGCTGCCAGCAAAAGCAACAGTGATGTAAATGCATAACGAGCACCCTGAACAGTTTGTTGTTGAGAGTACGGCCACTGTCCACCACGAACCCAACCTATGACATCCTCCAGAGCCTCAAGTAGCCAGCTGCAAAGATAAAAGATGTAGTAAAAATGTGTGCCAGCACACGAGTGCAAAGCAGTTTAGGAAACTGGATAAAATACATGGACAGTAAGAAACCTATTGGACACATTGTTCCATTTTATTTTATAATGATTTTGTATATCAGGCCTATTAATAAATATGGTGGTTACAGAAATCATAAACTGATGCATGAACAAATTATATCATACTTGAATTTCAAAAAGCCTCTTAATTCCCCATACAAGACTAATATGACGAGAGTAAAATATACGTGAATTACAATGGATAAAACGTTTAAAAAACAATAAGAGCAAGAATGTTCTCATGTGAAAATCTTATCAGTACAACGTCAGTGATCTGTACTGCCTCCATCATGTTCCTTAGTTACATAGTTTCCAAAAACAAATACAAAAAATACACGGGTTGTGGGCTATTGATCAGCCACTCAGACAACTTAATTAAAATTATACAATGTGTTGTACATTGATGTCTCACCAGTTCACACTTGATATCCCCCACACACACCCTCTGCATACACAGTTAATTCCTAAAACAGTCACCATGTAAGTATATTAGGATCAAACATTTAGAAGATCCAATCTCAAAAATTCATCTGGATACAAAAATGAAAGAAAAAATATATGCAGTGAAAATTCAAAAGATAGATATCACCCAATACCAGAGGTACATTTGCATAACTGAATAAACAAGAGTTACTGAAGTTAAAATGTTAAATCTTGTTAATTTTACTATCTTCAATCTTTGAAATGAACTTTGTGCATCACCCGGTATCACTTACTGTTGTGGCCCGAGATTTGGGATTGGTGGAGTATTGGAAATTGGTGCATCTGCTGATGTGGACTCTGATGCTGATGATATATTTGACTCTTCACTGAATCTGAAAGAGAAAGTATAATTTATTCCATTTGCTTCTCGCCACATTAGTCACTTGATTAAAACGGCATTACATTAATGTAGGTAGTAGGTTGGTAGACAGCAACCGCCCAGGGAGGTACTACCGTTCTGCCAAGGGAGTGTAAAACGAAAGCCTGTAATTGTTTTACACGATGGTAGGATTGCTGGTGTCTTTTGTCTGTCTCATAAATATGCAAGATTACAAGTACGTCTTGCTACTTCTACTTGCACTTAGGTCACACTACACATACATGTACAAGCATATATATACACACCCCTCTGGGTTTTCTTCTATTTTCTTTCTAATTCTTGTTCTTATTTATTTCCTCTTATCTCCATGGGGAAGTGGAACAGAATTCTTCCTCTGTAAGCCATGCGTGTTGTAAGAGGCGACTAAAATGCCGGGAGCAAGAGGCTAGTAACCCCTTCTCCTGTATATATTACTAAATTTAAAAGGAGAAACTTTAGTTTTTTTCTCTTGGGCCACCCTGCCTTGGTGGGATACGGCTGGTACATTGAAAGAAGTTTTTTAATACAAAATGCATGATAAAGGAATAACAGGAAAGGTTGGTAGATGGATCTATAACTTCCTGACAAATAGAACACAAAGAGTAATAGTATAGTACAGTCCCAGGCACCCACTGTAAAAAGCTCTGTTCCACAAGGCACAGTACTCTCTCCCATTCTATTCCTCATCCTCATTTCTGACAGACAGAGATGTAAGCCATAGCTCCGTGTCTTCCTTTGCGGATGACACCCAGATTACCATGGCAGTGACCTCCATCGAAGACACTGCGAGACTCCAAGCGGACATTAACCAAATTTTTGAATGGGCCACTCAAAATTATGTGAAGTTCAACGAGAAGAAATTTCAACTACTCAGATATGGGAAACTTGAGAAAATTAAAAATCTATCAAGGTCGTATATGACAAATTCTAACCATACAATAGAGCGGAAAAGTAATGTGAAGGACCTTTGAGTGATAATGTCAGAGGATCTCGCCTTCAAAGACCACAACAATGTATCTACCTCATCTGCTAAGAAAATGATAGGATGGATAATGAGAACCTTCAAAACTAGGGATTCCAAGCCCCTGATGATTCTCTTCCAATCGCTTGTGTTCTCTAGGCTGGAATACTGCTGTACACTAATGGCCTCCTTCAAGGCTGGCAACATTGCAGACCTGAAGAGCATACAAAGAACTTTTACAGCACACACAAGTACGATAAGGCACCTAAATTACTGGGAACGGTTGAAGGTCCTTGATCTGTATTCCCTGGAATGCAGGCGAGAGAGATCCATGATAATATACACTTGGAAGATCCTGGAGGGATTGGTACCAAACCTGCACACGAAAATCACTCCATATGAAAGCAAAAGACTCGGCAGGAGATGCAACATTCCCCTGATGAAAAGCAGGGGCGCCATGAGTACACTGAGACACAACATAATAAGTGTCAGGGGCCCAAGACTGTTCAACTGCCTCCCGGCATACATAAGGGGAATTACCAATAGACCCCTGGCTGTCTTAAGAAGGCACTGGACAGGCACCTAAAGTCAGTACCTGACCAACCGGGCTGTGGTTCGTACATCAACTTGTGTGTGGCCAGCAGTAACAGCATGGTTGATCAGACCCTGATCCACCATGAGGCCTGGTCTCAGACCAAGCCGTGGGGGCGTTGACCCACGAAACCCTCTCCAGGTAAACTCCAGGTAAGTAATTTATCATTTGTATACAGTGGACCCTCGGTATTCGATATTAATCCATTCCTGAGAGCTCATCGAATACCGATAATATCGAAAACCGAATCAATTTTTCTCATAAGAAATAATGGAACTCAAATTAATCTGTGCAAGACACCCAAAAGTATGAAAAAAAAATTTTTACTACATGAAATATTAAGTTTAATGCAATAGAATAATTACAATAACAATAAAATAATTGACACTTACCTTTAATGAAGATCTGGTGATGATTGATGGGATGGGAGGAGGAGAGAGGTGTTAGTGTTTCGAAGGGGAATCCCCTTCCATTAGGAAGGGGATTCCGGGGTTACTTCCCTTATTCTTTTAATGCCACTAGGACCAGCTTGAGAGTCACTGGACTTCTGTCGCACAACATAACTGGCAGCCTCACCATGCCTAATCACATTATGTATGCCACTACGATTCTTAAATCTTTCAAACCAACCTTTACTGGCCTTAAATTCACTCACATCACCACTAGTTGCAGGCAATTTCTTTACCAAATCGTCATGCAACTGCCTAGCCTTTTCACAAATGATTGCTTGAGAGATGCTATCTCCTGCTATCTGTTTTTCATTTATCCACACCAGTAACAATCTCTCAACATTTTCTAACACTTGTGGTCGCTGTTTCGTAATCACAGTTGCACCTTTTGCAAGAACAGCTTCCTTGATTGCTGTTTTCCTGGTCACTTTAGTAGAGATGGTTGATTGTGGTTTATTATACAACCTGACCAGCTCCGACACACGCACTCCACTTTCGTACTTTGCAATTATCTCTTTCTTCATTTCATAAGTCATTAGCGACTTTTTTCTCGAAGGGTTGGCACTAGAAGCTTTCTTGGGGCCCATGGTGACTTATTTTGTAGAAACAAGCACCAAACACAGTGATAATATGGATAATATGGAATGTACTGAATGTATCCTTAGATGCGCGCACACTGGCTGGCTTGTAAACACTGGCACACGCGGAGCAGTTCAGGCCACACGTGGACAGGTCTCATACGAATCGTATCGAATACCGGGTTTTCAATCGAATACCGAGGCAAAATTTTTGTGTTAAAATGCATCGAAAACCGGATTTATCGAATACCGGGGGTCCACTGTACTTCCAACATGTCACATTTTGGAAGAAAACAATTGTAAAATTTTCAAGATTTTTTTTAAGTTTTCAATATTACTTATATCACACAGGTGCTCTTTGACATACTAATATTAAAAATAGTGTGAAAAATATTAAATGCCGGCCATTTCCCACCAACTTAGGGTGACCTGAAAAAGAAACTTTCACCATCATTCACACCATCACTGTCTGGCCAGAGGTGCACAGATACGACAATTCAGATGTTCCTCCTAAGCAGTAAATATCCCAAACTCCTCCAGTATTGAAAGAAACAAAAAATTTCAGCCAAAAAAAACCCTAAACTATAAACATGATTTTTGCAAATATTTAAAAGATTTCAACATTGCTTAAAATCACACCACATCCACTATTAACATCTTAATTATGAATATAGAGCAAAAAGTAAAATAAATATTATTACATCAAGAGGAAAAGTTCTAGACTTGGAGTTAGTTTCAACTTGATTCAATAAATTCTTCAGAATAGTTTACATGTACATGCATTCTATTGTATTAATTTGTATTAAGTGTAAGGGTACACTGCAGTTCATACCTTCGATTACAGTCCTGTGGGAGTGATGCAGCTGCAGCAGCAGCAGCATAAAGCTCTGGATGCAGCTGAGCTAATGTGTTAGCTATGGACGAGTTTGAGGTTGAATTTTTATTGGTGGATTGTGACGTCTCGTTACCTTCCTCACCGCTCTCGCTGCCTTCCTCAGTGATACTGTTGGCCCAAACCCTGAATGTGAAATTAGAATAAAGCATGTGGTTCTCAACACCAGACTAACATTCTGAAGCTGCATTATACACAGACATTATACGGTGCTCTTCGACTTAAAATGGGGTTAGGTTCCGACAAACCCGTCGTAAACTGAAAACATTGTAGGTCAAACATGAATATATAAGTAAACAAATAACTACTATCACTAAATAAGTAAACAAATAATTACTGTAATTAAATACCAGTATTGAAAAGTAAATAAATGAATATAAGTTTATCCTACCAATAAATGTACAGTACTTCACAATGGTGATATTATAATGGTGCTATCGCATCATCATAAAGTCGAAATGTCCTAAGTCGAACCATTGTAAAGTCAGGAGCATTTGCATATACTTCAATAAAAAATCTAATTTAATACAAATTTTGATGCAAGATATATTGTAGCTGATTATTACTCTATTATATATTTATGGGGAATCACTTAACCCACAGGGTTCATAAAGATCCTGGAGAATGGGAGTGTAGCTCCAATTCCTTGGATCATGAGTTCACCAGCATCAAGGCACCCCCTTCCCTGAAGGGAAGTAATTGCTGAAACAAATTCTTTACTGATAATACAATATGAAAGTATTATCCACTCGAGGGACTAATTAGCAATTCTCAAGACAAGCTGCGAGTTTCTTTAAGTAAAACACTGGAAAAATGGCCATGAATTTTCCTTTAGAAAGACCACAATTTAAAAAAAAATCATGAAAGTTAAGACACATGTGCAACATCTGGATATCTTTATTGTAGACGTTTCGCCATCCAGTGGCTTTATCAATACAGATTCTAGGACATAATAGGAAGACAGTAGAACTATATACAAAAGATGAGGTAATCAGTCCCTCGGCCTTGGAGTTAGTGTTCACAGCATCGTTCTTGCACAAAAAAAATCATGTCCATTAAAAATTATATCATTATTGCATATTTCAATTTTTCAGAGTAGTCTGAGGCATTTACTGACATGCTCCATTTACCTAAAATGTGTAAATTATCAAACTTTTACTCTTTGAAAGGATAGATAATTGTATATTTACTCTGGGATTTATCACTCCTTTTAAAGTGTAACTTTGATGGCAAAATTTGTAAAGTACAAAGAACTGGTAGTGTACAAAGAAATAGGAACAAATTTTATTTTTCTAGGATTTACAAAAAGATATTTACTAATTTCAGAATACAGAATGTGTACTGTAATAATAATAATGTTGTAAGACCCTACCATCAACCTCAATTCCTGAGGTTATAAAGCTGTGCTTAATTCCAAATACGTAATAGGAGATTAAAAGATGCTAGCTAGCGCAGTGGTGAGCAATTCATCTAATTTTCCTGTCCCAATTATGAAAATGGAAAAAATGTGGCTTTGTTTTACAAGTTAGGCTTAGCCCTAAAATACTGCATAACTAACCCATTAGAAGGCTTTTCACTTTCTTCTGTTTTGTCTTTAGAAGTAGGTGAAGAACTGGAAGAACTAGAGGCAGCAGCAGCAGCTGCTGCTGCTGCTGCAACAGCAGCAAGTTCTTGAAAGGGCTTCAAGTCTGGCATGAGGGAAGCTCGTCTTCTTGATGCTCTGCTGCCCATAAATGCTGTGGCTGGTGTCTTGATTGAACTATTAGTGAAACTGATGCGTCGACTATCCTGTGTCTGTTAGGGAACAAGTAACATAAATAAATACCACGCACTAGATGTAGATGATATTTTCACACAATATAAGCAGTCTGATGCATGGTAATTTAAAACAGTAAAAAGAAAACCTAATCAGCTATGTACTAGTGTAACATGTTTGGTTAGGAAGGAGAGGAAGGTGCAAATGAAAATATTCTCCTGTCTGGCATCTGCAGAAAAATCATAAAAAAACAATTTGCTATATTACCACTGGATTACAAGCAGAGATGGAACAAGTACCAGCATATATCCTTGAGACACACCAGTGAGAAGCCTCAACCATCTTGGTGGCCAAGACTACACTGGGGGGCCAAATATAGGTTAGAGATCCACATAAGAGACCATTATAATCTGCAAATCTTTATAATAAAAATCCACCAGGGACATTTGAATCACAAAACATTATGGCCCTATTGATGTGCCCCCCATTCTGCCATTTAACTGGTCATTGAAATAAGAGGGATTTAGATGTGTTCCTAATATATAAATTGGCACTTTCTAGGACATTTTTACTCTAGTGACTTTTGGTGTAACTTTCATAATTTTTCATTAATTTCTGAATCTAAACAGTCATTATTCCTACTTATGAGCAATTGAAAACCACCCTCTCTCAAGAAAGGAAGGCTAAGAGTCATTCTTTGCATCAAAAAGCCCCTCACCAGCATCAACATTACTTAAGAGCTTTTAACAGGCAAGAATGACCTGAAGAAGTCCTACTACTTGTATGCTTTACTTTAACCCTTAAATGGTCCAAACGTATATATACGTTTTTTCAACATCTGAAAGTAAGAAAATGTAGATCATCTTTTTTGTTTTACATTTGAAAACGTGTAAAAAAAACTTTTATCTACATTTTTTTTTGTTACATTTGAAAATATGTTAAAAAAAGTAGATCTACTTTTGTAGCTATGAATTTGAACGTTGATTTGTTTGGACTGTTTAAGGGTTAAACAAAACATAAAAGCATGGGTGAAAAAGGACACCAGTAGAGAGGAACTTTATTGAGACATTTCACCATGAAACAGGTTTCCTTACTTAATGAAGCCTCTTCCACAGGCAAAATATTTCAAGGTTCCTCTTTTTCACAACTTGTCAGCTTTGCCATTTGTCTTCAAAACACAAAAATGTGTTTAATATTGATGGTAGTGCCTTGCCTTATTGGAGTACCCTGCGAGGCTGAGAGCGCGCAGACGTCTGGTTGCTGCTGGAGAGTCTACTGCTGACTGGTTGTTTCCACCACTGGCCCCTTGTGATGTCGGTAGCTCAATCTGGTACTCGTTAAGTATTCTGAAACAAAAATTTAATACCAAACATAACTTCATTATACTTTATCATTACATTAATGGAGGGGCATTTGAATTTCAGTATCTACATGCCCCTGGCAAGGCAGTGACAGAGTGAACGATGGTGAAAATGTTTCTTTTTTGGGTCACCCTGCTTCAGTGGGAGACAGCCAGTGGTAAAAAAAAAAATAACAACTATATGAAGTAGACATGTGCAAAGCCTGTGTATCTATCTTGATGACACTTCCCCAACCAGTGGATTTTTCCACCTCAATACAGAAGTGGACTGGTTACATCTTCCACTGTCTTCCGTACTGTATAATAAAATCTTGGTATTGTACAGAAAAAAACCACTGCTTGGTGAAATGTCTTCAAAATAAAGATACAAAGGTAGTGCACATGTGGTTAATTCATCTTCATTATGTTCTATTTAGATTAAGTATCATTCAGTTATAATTTTCCATAAATGATTTTTTTTCGAATGATATGAATAATTATAAAAAATCCCAAATAACTAGTGTAATACAGTAATGTCTGAAACTAAACCATTTATCATTCATCAAGAGAACTTTGAACAAATGTTACTTGGTATCAAAGTTAACATTGGTGGCTGTGGAACCACTGGTGCTTACCACAGTCCACCGAACTCATTACAAGTTTCCAGTTACAATTTCTACAGTTACTTGTATAAGCCTAGGCATTTCACAACTTCACATAAGTGGCATTAGTGCTTGTCAAATTTCTTCTCTATTATACACAAATAACCCGCACATAAAAGAGAGAAGCTTACGACGACGTTTCGGTCCGACTTGGACTATTTACAAAGTCACACTGCACTTTCGGTCCAAGTCGGACCAAAACGTCGTCGCAAGCTTCTCTCTTTTACATGCGGGTTATTTGTGTATTGTTCCAGTCATGGTATTGTGCCTTTTTTTATTGTTCTTCTCTATTATTATAATTTCCACAAAAGAATATACTAATGTATGCAGGTGCATGCACACAATAAACAAGTACAGTAGAA